TTCCAGGAAGTGCTGCCGATGGGGCTGCCACGTGGAGCGGCTGCACCCGAGGTACCTGTCTTGCGATCTGGATTCTTTTACGCACATAGAGATGGCCGTTCTCCGAAAACGCTGAGTGTTATTTCAAGGAATTCCAGCTTGAAGTTTTTAGAGGGTTGTCATGTGCTCATGTTGACCGCCTATGGTACACATGTATGTCTATATTTGTATATCTTTTAGGGAATGTGGCAATGTGTCTCCCCCGGATGTATGCGTAAGCGCCATGTGATTGTGTAGTCCGTCCGTCTTTTTCATCCCAACAACATTCCCTCTTCACCCAAAGCGTACCTTGTACCTCGCATCTTTTGACCATCCCCACCAGTATAACATACCTACCGGGCATGTCCATTCACCCGTCCCCTTCCCCACCCACCTCCATCTTCCCTGGTCCTGTCAGGCTCAAGGATGAGCCCCTAGGCACATGTGGCGCCATGTGTTGCCTGGCATGCAGGTCAGTGTCAAAGGTCAGACGTGGTGAAGAGATAGGGCGATGGTTGTGACCGGAGCTCGTGACTGACCTTGCATGACGGTGAGGCTGGCCAGCCACATCCGGCTCAAAGCGGCAGCAAGGCAATGACTTCCAGAAATTATAGCAGATCATGACTGACGTCTTGGACTTCGAGCTCTGGTGACACAGCGTGAGATGCGCGCCCAGTGTGCTGTGGAGAGAGGAAGGAACCCTGCCGCGGCTTCTGCATTCCTGTACAATGCAGAGAATATTATTATTGTTGCATAAGTCATTAAAAAAAATACGAGGAATGTCAGTAGACACATTGAAATGGTTTGTCATGCTCGAGAGGCGGCGTGGGTTTGGCATGCTTTTGCGTTTCATAATGAGGTAAACATTATGCGAGTGTTGCGTCATTCAACCAGTTTTTGAGGAGACATGAGAAGAAGGGAGGGAGGGAAGGGGCAAAGGATGAGGGAAGAGGGGGGTAATGTATACACCAATGGAAGGGCGGGGTGTTGGGAATGCAGGCGCTGGATGGGGGGAAGGGGGGGCAATATTCCTCGAGGGCGGAGGATGAGGTGGTGTCCTTGTATAGATGACCTTGTTCCGTGTACCTGCACAAGGTGGTACCCGGATGTGGTGACTCCATGCCCTTCTCTCTCTCTCTCTCTCTCTCTCTCTCTCTCTCTCTCTCTCTCTCTCTCTCTCTCTCTCTCTCTCTCTCTCTCTCTCTCTCTCTCTCACATTCATGCCCCACCCCTATCCCCCTGTATCTCGCCCATTTTTTTCCCCACTCGTTCGTAATTTACATGTTTTCACCTCTTAAAGATACCAAGCTGATCATAAAAATAAAACGAACAAAGTCGCTTCAGGAACCAACTTCTCGCTTGCATTACGATTTAGCACAAGCTTATTATGATGCGAAGCTAGGAAATGGAGGCGTGGTGGGGCCAAGGGATTAATGCAGGTAACCACATGCATGTAAAGAGACTGTAATACATATATTGAATATCCTCATGTTACAGGAAGGCTATTTCGATCTTATTTTTCTTTTTTCGTATTCCGAAAACACGTGCGTTGAGACATGATTGGAAGAATGCAGTGAGATGAACAAAGGTATGGGGAATAAACGAGATAAAAGGGAGAATGTAGAACGGGCAGAGACTTCGCGGAACAGAAAGGCGGCAAGGGTGAGGTGCCAGGAAATTAACTTTTATGTTCTGCGTGACTTTTTTTTCTGTGCTCATTTTAAGAGTCGTGCGGGTGTTTCCTCCGGGTGCTTTCTCTCGTGAGGAGGTTTCTCAGTAACAAGAAGCAGGTATCTGGCGCCCCACCATCTAGGAACTCTGTGATCATTATCTATAAAGGTGGCTGTGGCATACGTCACCCATGCACGCATTGGGTGCATTCCATTGGGGGGGGGGGGGGAGTGCAGAGATTATCTTAGTGTCCAACTTTATACGAAAATGTAATACTAGTTTCCGTTGGTTACCAAGTATTGTTTTATCTGACTTATGTTGCTCATTAGGCAATATGCACGAAAATGATTATTTCTACTCTGATTTGCATGGTATGCATTGCTTTACGTAACCCCGAAGTAAGAGGATGTATCTCCCACAGTCAGCTGCACGTGGCGGTCATGCGTGGCTTCGTCGAGGTGGTGTACCACATCACGCGACTCCTCCCCCACCAGGCGCTGCTCGATCTCGCCAACCACACCGGCAGGGTATGTACCTTTACTCCAATTCCTGTCCTTTGGTAGATATCAAGTAGACGATTATTTTAATTAGTTCGCAGGTGGTGCATGTCCCTTTAACAGTGAGGTGTTTGTGTAATGAAAGTTGGCTCCGTAATTCGGTTTAGTTGGTAACAGTGTTCGAGTCGGCCATCCACAGATCCTCCTGAATTTGTGTATGTTTTGGATGTGGAACAGAATAAAAACGCCAGATATTAGCGCCCGTCAGGAAGTGTCTTTATCAGCTCAGGAGGGCGGAGTTAAGATTAGTGGAGTTTTGTAGGCACGGCGACCCATCTGAGGTGGGCGTATATGGGGGGAGGGAGAAGGCCCGAAGAGGGAGAGGTGCGGGCGTGGGTGTGGGAGGGAAGGTGATAGCACTTGGATCGTGTTCCTTGTGGTTATCTCGGGCCGTGGCTGTTGGTGTCCACTTGATTTCGTTTTTTTCAGGGTTCGTGGCTGTTCATTGTTTTTGTTTGTGTGGTCGTTTCCATCTTTATTTGCTTATCCTTCGATGCACTGCCCATTTACGTAAGTATTTCATGTTTTGTCGGTCAAAAGAAGGTCAAAACAACCACTTTATATTTACAAACCAACACAAAATTCATCGTATCAGACTGGACAGGCCTCCGTAGACAGCTCCACTAGTGATGCGCAACATTTTCGTTACCATTCACTTCACCGGAAACACAATTTGTTTGAAATGTTCTAACGAGTAAAATAAGTAAAGTTAATGTCCCATGAAACGGATACGTAACGTTTATTATCATGGCGTGTGCCTGTTGATGGGCGTATTACCGGCCTCACCCGCCCATTCATTCCTCCCACACGCCCGCCGGAACCTGTTTGTCGTTGCCGCTCCTCATTCATATGGACTCCCCCTCCCTCCTCTCTCTCTCTCTCCACTCCCGCACACACCCTCGACCCAACCCTCGCGCGTGTCCCAACTCCCAACCGACATGTCCTGAAAACCGCGAATCAGTCGTAGGCCTTGTCTGTATTTCCGGTGGAGAGATTGTGTGTGTGTTTATACATGGGATATTATCACTTGACACGGAGCCGATCGGGTGCTTTGAGGGCCTGGGTCATGCGGATTTAAGGAGTGGTTAGGTTTATTGATATAAGTGTTTCCGGGTCATGACCCTTGCTGTGGGAGGGGGTTAGGGGTAGGTCAAAAGGGATGGAAGGGGGGAAGAAAAGGATAAGAACTAAGGTCGAATATGGCCTGTTCGACCGCTCGGGACCCTTGCAACTTACACCCCGAGAGGTTTTAAGATAAGAAGACGAACGGCTGAATGGGTCGACTCTCCCTCTTTTGTTCGTTGGAAGGAGTGTCCGGGATAGGGGGAGGGATGCGCCCCCTGTCTCTGTCCCTCCCTGTTCCCCCTTTTCGCCAACCGTTGTGTCGTGGGCCTGTGCCGTTTCCTATTGCATTTCCTTTTTCTTCCTTTCTGTTTTAGAGGTGGGAGAAAGATGGTCTAATTGGGATATTGCAATTTGAGTGGTGTTACCTCCCCGCCTCCGCTACACTCCAGCCTAGCCCAAAATCCTGCTTTAATCCCCGGAAGTGACCGCAGCAGACAAGTTATCTAACCCGGCAGAGACCAAAATAGCCTGTGCATGCCTCTCCTGCGCCTCCTCCTTCTCTCCTCCTCCCCCTCCTCCTCCTCCTTCATCTTCTTCTCCTGCGCCTCCTCCTCCTCCTCCTCCTCATCCTCATCCTCATCCTCCTTCATCTTCTTCTCCTTTTCCTCCTGCTCCTCCACATGAGTCTTATTTCTTGTGCCTCTGCCTAATGTTCCTCCTCCTTATCCTTGTCTTACATGGAACATCCAAAAGAGAAGAAGGAAGACGAAGCGGGGGCGTAGAAGAGGCTGATAGGGGTGGAGGGAGAGAGAAGGGGCGAGAGAAGGCGACAGGTCTATGAACATTAGTGTTATCAGTGAACAAGGAGAGCCGCATGGACCGTAGCTTCCCGCACCCAATCCTCAACTAGGTGCCAAGGGGGAGGGGGGGGGTGCAAGGACTAGTTGAATGAATGTTTTTTTTTTCCCTGCTTTGACCAGTTATTCAGTCTGGTGAAGTTATTAACCGCGCTGGTGTGGGGCGGAATAAGATGAGAACTTGATATCTCTGGATTGGGTACAGCAGAAGATTGTGTTGCAAAGTGTAGTGTACCTTAGCGGTATGTGATTCTAGGTACGCCATAAAAGGGTTTAGGTATCAGAGATTGGCAGGGCGACGGACTAGGTAGCTGGGATTGGCAGGACGAAGGACGAGGTACCTGGGCTTGGCGGGCGAAGGATTAGGGATTGGGATAGATCATGACAGACGATACAGGGCACGAAGGGTGAAGGTCGACTCATTAATTTGGAGTCATGGAGGAAGAGATTCTTATGACTATAACTCACCCAAGTCAAGGCTTAGGTGACGCACTTGATGCTATTACTCCCCTTGTCTTCCCTTTCTTTCCTGCTTCCCTCGCTCCTCCCTTTTTGGCTTATTTTTGCCATGGCTGGACGATCGGATGTGGCCACGTTGCAGTGTGGTCTTCAGGAGTCTTTAAAAGTATCTCTTATCTCCTTCTTGGCACTCCCCGCCATTTAAAAAGTTGAAAGGCTAACGTTACATTTTGGCTTTAGTTACAAAAAGAAATCAGAGATATTTGTGTATCAGTGTTTCTATCTTTCTGGCAACAATCTTCGCCCATTTACTCCCAACCGGAGGGGACGAACCGAAGGGGTGCGGCTGCTCTCGGCGCCTCGGTGTCTGGGGGAGAGGCTCACACTTCCTGCCCCCCTCCCCCTCCTCCTTCACTCCCCTCCCACGCCCCCACTCCCCTCCCACTCCTCCACCCTGTGTCTGATGTCTCGTACCGACCCACTGGCCTGTCACACCCCTAAGAACCCGCATCACGCCTGATTGATATGATACAGCCATCGCGCAGATAAAGTCCCGGATTTTAATATGATGGAAGATTACATTATCCTGTGGTCTGGTTAGCGATTTTATAATCTCATTTGTCTCCTTTTGATTTAAAGTGCATAGCATAATTTTTTCTGTGTGTTTATCCTTTCGGCGTTATCCTTAAGCGTCATAGTGTCAGAGGTGTGGCAGCGAGGGCTTGGAGCATGGTGCCAGGTGGTACCGTGGAAACAAAGTGCCAGCGCGTGAGAACCAAGGGCTTGTGGCGTGGTAAGGTGGGGTGGGGGGGGGGGGGGGAGACGGACAGATGCTGGCGGAGGGTGGGTGTCCCCTGACTGAAACGGTGCAGACGGCCTTGTAGCGATCAGAAGGCCGCGCCGATCCACGGTAGGCACAGAGACGCAGGGCTTCTTCCGTAAACTGTGCTGGTGCCATTCTGCTGTAGCTGTTGCTCTACTGTCTGCCACGTCAGATGATGTGAGCACACAACATGAATATGCCGAGTCACCCATCATGTCCGGAGGCGGTTCTTCCTTGTTCCCGCCTAGCGAGCGTCGCTTCGACCCCGGTCACACTCTGGCGCTCGCCCGGGGGCTTCCCCGAGGGCGGAGCCGAGTGCCTGTGGGGGAGCAAGAAGGGAGGGCGAGAGGCCGGGAGGAGGGTACAGCTTGTGTTCAGGAGAGCGAGGGGGAAAAGGACTAAGAATCAGCCTTTTCAGATGATGAGATGGAAGAAAGTTCCAATGCTTGTTTTGGCAAACCCTTTTTCCTCTTGTTTTTTTCCTTTTCTTGCTGCTCCTTATGCCAGCATCATCACTCACCGGCCTTGATATTCTGCTTTTCCTTGTCTGCTTCTTCAAGCAGACACGCAGCACCATGATTCGGTAACTTAAAGCATCAATAAGCTTTGGTCACGCTCCCTGGCTACGTTGCGTACAAACTTCTACCTGCATGTTGTACCTACAAGCGAGGGTTGTCAAGCTGGATTGGGTTACAAAGACTAGCGAGGCGGTTAGTGTTTCCGGCAGTGCGTGTACTCATGTAACACTACAGTAAACCCCCGCACGGCGCGTCCTCCAGACTTCCTTGTTAACCCTCCTCTCCCTCCCCCTCCCCGGCCGCCCTTCAGCACACACCACCTGTGCCACCTGCGACTCGACTGACCAACCCCATGCTCGTATCTCTTCCCAATTCCCAGACGTTTTAGTTTGCTTTTCCGCTCGTAAGTCGCTGGACGAGTTCACGTCAGCCCTCGTGACCAGTGTGTTTCGAGAAAGAGCGTCGAACAGGTGTAAAGGGAAGGGTTCGGGAGGAAGGGAAGGGTGGGGGAGGAAGGGAAGGAGGGAGGATGGGTGGGCGTGGGGAGGGGGGTTGGGTTATCAACACTTCCCGTCCACGGCTTTGGGAAGGTCGCCACAGACCCCGTTATTGGGGATCACACGGCATCCACAAAGCAATTACATACATTTAAGGTCACTTCGCCGGGCTGATTAAGGCTGTTTGTTTCTGAGAAGGGTGAGCGAGGGTTAGAGAGTGTTTTAGTGGGTCTGGAATGACATGGGTTGTGAAATGTAACATGTAATGGCTTTATTTAGGGAAGTACAGAGCTGGTGACCCGAATAGCTCGCCGGCTCCCGGAGCACCCCATTTGTCCATTGTCTTTCCGCTGTCCACGTGGATAGAGCGCTTACATTTGATCTGGAATGTATAGTTAATAGGGAGAGCTGTATCGAGATACGTAAATGATATTCGATAAGAGTTTGTATGGGGGATAGGTGTGGTCCAGATTGCGTGCGTGGGAAGAGGCTGGTGGTCGCCTCAGTGTTAGTACCTTGTGGCGTAACGGCCTGTAAATCCTGGACTTTCCCCACCAACACGACGCAGCTCTTCCTCTTCCTCTTTGGCGTCCTGACCTCTTTGGGCAGTGTTCTCCAAAGCCCTGGCTTTGTCATTTCTACCCTGGCTTCCCTTGGGGAGTTACCTTATCTAGTACTGCACCCATGATAAAAGAAAAGATTAGTTTATTTTGATGTCGAGGAATGGACTATTTAGTCTTGTGATTATGCAGGTGTTTATTGTTCTTGTCTTGTCCTTCCAGACGGCCCTGCACTTGGCCGTTTCGGCTGGCGACGCGGAGATGGCGCGGCACCTGATCGTGTGTGGAGCATCACCCGTGGCGCGGGATCGACGGGGCAACACCCCCCTGCACACCGCCAGCGGCCACGGAGACATCCACATGGTGACCCAGCTTACACGTCCTGTCACCGTGGCCGAGGTCATGCACGCCCGCCTGTCCTACGCCCCTGCACACACCGCAGGACTCCTCGCCGCTGACCTTACCAACTACGATGGTAAGTAGCATATGAACCTTGTTTTTGGCTATCATGTAAGCCTTTATACCGGCTCCATTATCACACATATTAATATCACTGTTATCTGAAGCGCCTCCGAACGCGATCTCCCTTGGGATTTCCACATAGCATTTGGCTTTGTGCCCCGGGGCGGCCGCCGCGGTCCGTCGCATCTTATCGCCTGATATTATAACAGCTGATGGCTTTCACGACGCCCCTCGAGCCCTCCGCCCAATAAGCAGTATGTGTCCCAGGACGTGACCCCCAGAGGCTCTGGATACACCCAATGACACCGGGTCTCCTGCGGATGTTAATAATTTTGTTATTGATAAGACCAGCCAGACGAGTCGCGAGAAGAGCCGGGGTACGTCATGGCGGTCTGGGGCTTCTGGCGTCGCCTGGGAATCCTGCGGGTGTCTTCAGTGTGAACGCGGGTCACTGAGTCACCCGCGGTTACGTAGCGGGTGTCGTGTGCATGCGTCTCGCCGGGTGAGATCATCCCCCAAACAGTTGCATGACTACGAGATTAGTCCTCGCTTCCCGTCGGAGATACAGGATGTATGGATGTCTGCGAGGATGAGAGAGGGGGAGGCGAAAGAGTAAGCCCAGGGATGGTACATATAAAGACCATTATCTCCTCGTTCCTCCAGTATCTCTACATTATATAATCATCTAGGAATGTAGCTCCGTAATCAGCAAGTTCTATCTACAAGCTACTCGTACCCCTGCAACCAACAACAGCGGTCTCAAGTGTTCAAGATACACAAAGAGAACGACTCCTACACCAATAAAAAACGAAAATTATTACAAGTTATTAGCTCAACGAAAAGTAAAATGATGACGTGTGCTCCCTTGTTCATCTAGCTTTGTTGGATGATTCATATTTTCTTTTCGAACTTTATCCTCAAGTCTAATGATAGTTTAAGACTGAATGGAATCGCTGTCTCATTCTCCGATTAAACCCTTCTTCACTTTACTTTTAATGAGTAGCTTGATTATCGTTTATTTTATAAATATATTTTTGGAGGAAGGAGAGAGGACTTGTGTAGGCTTCACGGGTCTGTCTTAAACCCAGATGAATGAAAGACCCACCTAGAGGGCATCACTGGCGACCTGGGATTTCCAAGGCGGTCCTTCGTCTGTGACCCCCGCCTTCTTCCCTCTCCCTTTCCTCCCCTTTCCCTCCCCCTTCCCCTTACCTCCCCCTCCTTCTCCCTTCCCCCTTCCCTTCCCTTCCCTTCCCTTCCCTTCCCATCCCTTCCCATCCCTTCCCCCTTCCCTTCCCCCTTCCCTTCCCCCTTCCCTTCCCTTCCCTACCTTACCCTACCCTACCCTTCCATTTACCTTCCCCCGCTCCTTCAGCACTCTTTACCTCTTCCTTCCATATTTCCTTCTTCCTCATTTTGTCTGTCCTTAAGCAATGCCCTTTTACTGAGTCTGGATATCAATCTTGTGTATAGAGTACACATACATACATCTTATACATATGCATGAACACGCACATACGTATGCATGTACACACACTCACTCACTCACTCGTACACATGAACACACAGTATAAATAGGTTTTCCCTTACCTCTCTCTTCACTTTTCAACATTTTTATCTACATTTGCTCCTTTTGTTTTTAACTTCGCCCTTTCCTGTCTACTGCAGTCTTTTTTCACGCCATTTTAGATAACGTAATTTTGTTTTATACTTACGTAAGTTGTTTTTCTTTTATCCGATTGTGTTTCTGACTGTTTGTATAGTTTTATTGTTTTTATGGCATTCAGTGCTCTTTCATATTTATTAATTTCAACTGTTAAAGTCTCTGACATTTATAAATTTGTTTTTGTCGTATCAGATGCTCTTGCTATACTCCCTTCTTTATTATTTTGTTCCACTGTTTATGGCATTGCTAATTTGCACAGAAACAGAAAAAGGATAAGAAAGAGAAATGAAAAGCCGACAAAGCTGACTGTCGACTAGCGCGCGAAGGTGGTTTACGCCGTGTTCGGGGGACCAGTGTTTACATCAGCGACCCCAGTTGTAGGGACGGACGGGTTTGTCAGGGAATCCCGCCTGTTTTGAGCCTTCCTCCTCTCGGCCGCAGTCCAGCAGGAGCTTATTCTGAACATTATGATGAGTATTGCGGCCGCGTTTGCTGGGAGGGATCCGCTGACGGAGGGAAAGCCGCGTGAAGTTCTCTTGCGGTTCATGTCTGGTAATGCTTTTCGGGGTCCAGAGGGTGTGGTTAATGGCTGTAGTTGTTGTTGGGGAAAGTGACCGGAGATTTGTGATAATGTTATGAATGATATGATTAGAGAATGATAACGATACTAAAGATAGGACAATTACCTATTGCAATGGCATTTTCAAGCCGACTGGGATAAGAAAGAAAAGAAAGAGACACGATAATAATTCAAAGTTACCAAATGAATACGATGTATCACCAAACTTTTCCTCACGGTCCTACCTTAAGATTCCTTCCGGCGCTCAGTGGGCGGCGCGGGCTGCCTCTCTTGTAATGGCTGGGCTTGGGCGGCCAGGGAAGGTGTGTCCTCTAAAAAATGCCCACATGACAGAGGCAGACGAGGGGTCACATGGGCGAGGTCATACCAGGGCCACCTGTTGGCGCCCTGCCCACGAGCCATGCCAACTGACATGCCAAGGCCCGTAACCAGCTTACTCTATTTATAAAATTTATAATTACAACAAAAATGGGAGTCGCATATTTTCCTCTGAACGTGTGGGATAACGGGGGTAAAAAAGTAACTGTTGGAGGTAATGCGACGAGGCAGACTGGGGCTAATTCATGATAGACCTTAGCGGCGTCTGACTATTTCTTCTCGCCTTTAGACGTAGACACACACACACACGCACACGCACACTTACACACACACTTACACACACACTTACACACACACACACACACACACACACACACACACACACACACACACACACACACACACACACACACACACACACACACACACACACACACACACAAACACGAAAACACACACGCATATATATATATATATATATATATATATATATATATATATATATATATATATATATATATATATATATATATATGCATATATATATTGTACACACATACACATATACACATTCATAGACATATTTTCATATATACATACATATATAAATTTACATACATGCACATCTACACAAGTTTATATAAAATAAATACTGAATGTATACTGTATGCAAAGAGTGAGCGAATGAGTAATACATTTTTTGGGATATGAGACATAATTGAGTTTCCTTGATATTCATGTCCTGATTTTTATTCCGTCGTGGATTTCGCACATGGCGTTCCATACCAAGCAGGAAGGCACGCGCAGTCCTTTGTTGTGGATTCCTCCCCGAGCGAGTATAAAGTAGCACCGCACTAGCAGGAGTCACAGGGGGCAGCGGTATGGGTTCAAATCGACCGCGTTCGTCCGAGCTCTTGACATTGCGCCTGCGAGGGGAAACGGCTGATGCCACAGCCTTGTCTCGACCGTGTATTTGCGATTCTTTCATTGTGCTAAGTCGTGTGCCTTAACCACCGGAGGGATTAGTGAGTACGTAAACGTGGCAACACCGGTTTGTGTGGAGCGCGACCGTAGCCATGTATGTCCTGAACTCCAGGTTGCCAAGCTTCCCTCTCCCTCATCTGCCAAAGCGACGTAACATCCGCCGCTTTCTCCCTCGCCGAACACAGAGCTGGTGACGCCAAGATGGCATGTCTGCCGCCAGCATCAGTGGCTGTGTCCAGCTGGCACGGTGACCACTGGGCCTGCCGCGCGGATGCCTGCCTGACAGGGCGCGCATGTGAGGGGGCAGCGCCTCCCGCGGCCGCCTTTATTGCTGATCCTTGGAACATGCGGCACTGTTGTCGGTTGCCCTTTGCTTTAGGCCGGTGCTTTTGCCTCCTGCGGAACTTGCATTCTTGGTCGAATGGCGCGCTCCTTTCCCCCCCTCTGTCTCAAACTCCAGAGGTACTTCCAGCAAGAGAAGTAAGTAGGAGTCTGAAACCCAGTGTGGGGCTTTTGTCGACCTCCAAGGGACTCCTGGACGCTGTCAGTGCCTGAAATTGAAGCTGGTTTTGCAGAGTTCTTATTTTAATGAAAGAAGTTAGGTCAATGTAACTTTCATATTTTGGACAGTCTTGCGCAAAGGCATCCAAAGAAATAATATACAAAAGGCGCACCTCACGATACCTCATACATCGGGTGGTTGTATGGCCATTTAGATTAATAAGATTAGTAACTAGTATTAAAATATGATAAGAAACATCAAACATTTATTTATATTAAGGGAAAGGGAAAGATAATGCAATAAGATACATGAGAACAATAACCAATGAAGATAATATGAGACATCTAGAGTGACGAGGCAAACTTTGGATACCCGGCTTTCTTATGATTTGAGATTGCGCTTCATTCCCTTTATTCTCAGATCATCCCGAATGTACATCCAGACTTTGGCCTGCATTTGGATGGTGATGGACAGCTTAAAGGATAGTCATTTAAGGTGTGTGTCTCGCGAAAAAAAGTGAATATACACCACCGAGATATTACTTTACGTATTCTATCAAGTACCCGCAAATAACGATATTGCAGTCTTGGTTTCTGGCTTTATTGCGCTATTGCCGAGCAGTTGCAAGGAAATACCCGTACGCTGTCGGTATTGATTGACGATGATAGTCCAGAATTGTTTTTATTTCCTCCTTTGTTCGGAATTCCGCGACAGTTAATGACTGGCGTTCAATTTCGACCGTCGAAACGAATTACAGGCCGGGGCAGCCCAATCCGGAATAAATAAGTAGTATAGATCAGCGTGCGGTTGGGGAATACCGCTAGGCGAGTAGACAGGCTCGACCGTGAACGGGTTTTCCAGAATAGGCCCGGATTAACCTATTTAGCCTGAAAGAAATGTTCAGTCTGTCTCGAATAGGGAATAGCCTTGGGTAAGTATGGCGTCCGTATGCATAGTTCAGCA